CCTTCCCAGTTTTATGTGAGCCGCCCTGAGTCCCCTCAGGGAAAAGGGCGGCCTACAAATTCTAATAAAAAAACTAAAAAAAAAAAAAAAAACAACTATTAAGAAGTGCTGTTTGCTGTCAGTTTATATTCTGGTGTATTGCCTGTCTGTCTGGGTGGTGGCGGTCTTAGAGATTATTTGGTTTACTGATGGCTCTTTGGCAGTTTTTTGATTGGGATATTGCTTACTTGATTGTCTGAGGTTAACCTTGGCGTTAGTCTATGCTGATCTGGGTGCTAATTACTGGTGGAGGGGTGCTTGAGTCTTTTTCTCTTTTGGGCTGGTTGATTGTCTCTTTTACTTAGTCTACAAATGTTGTTAATGTCTATGCATCTATTGATGACTGATTTGGCAGAGAGCCGGGCTTCTAGAAATTCCCTGGCATTTTTGGACGTGGCCCAGTCTAGGATTGTCACATTTTCCCAAAAGAAACTATGGTTAAATCTGTCTAAGTGTTGTGAAATTAAAGAATTTTTGTCATGTCTTCTGACTGCCAGTTGATTTTCATGGATATGTTGTCAGTCTTCTGCCTGTTTGTCCTACATGGTTGTTGTTGCAATTCTTACATTGTATGTTGAAGATGACTCCTGTTTTTTCTTCAACATACAATGTAACATACAATTCCTTACTAGCACTGATAATGTTACCTAGTTAGGGTAATGAAACGTCTGCAAGAAAACAAGCAACCTCAAAGAGCACCAAGGACCCCTCAAATGTATAAATTTAAAATAACAATAATAACACCAACATAATAGGTGAGGGATAGCATTGCTTTTCAGGCAAAAAGATTGGAATCTTTTGCAATTATTTCATAGTACAACAAATTGTCTTTTATTGTATAGTTGTGGAGATCTTAAGATTATTATTTAGCCTGACCTTCAGCTGAAACTCTGCAGAAATTAGAACTCACCTCCAATGTAGAGTGGAGTGTCTTGACCAACCACGGGTTGCTTCTGCAGTTTGCCAAGGCTTTTGGGAGTGCCTTTATCTACTACCAAATTCAAGGTCTGGTTCAACACCACCAGCTCCACACTATGGAACTGACCGTCATTTACTGTCTCCACACTTTCAGAAAAAAAAAAAAAACCAAGGGAAGGGTATTAGAAGCTATGATAAACAGCTTTTGCAATTATCTGATCTCCATATAATTACCATAAGAAAAATAGAAATGTAAGAGATTTCATATATGCAGTTAGAATAAAAGAATTAAAAAAAGGTAAGAGGAACTGCAATCATCATAAATGTGAATCAGTTAGCAAATGCCTGGATTTTTAATCACATGACCATGGGGATGCTGCAACGGACGTAAGTATGAAAAACGGTCATAAGTTCCTTTTTTCAGTGCTGTTGTAACTTCGAACAGTCACTAAGCAAACTGTTGTAAGTTGAGGGCTACCAGTATTTTAAAGATCTTTGAGAAAGTCTAGGCCTTTATTAACATTAAAATGGACAATTATTAGATTTTGTTTTCAGAAAACAATAGTTCCAATGAAACTTTTAGCAATGTAAAGTCTCTTATCCTTCCTTCCCACTTAACTCAATACCTTTCATTTTTAATTGGTAGGGAAATTGGAAGACAGAACAGGCTCACTCTTCCAAAAAGTTTTGACGACTCAGTTTATTGAATGTATTAAATTCTGAAGATGAAACTGGTTTGCATGTCCACCAAAGAACCTTCTGAAAAGGCCCGAGCTCAACTTCCTGCCTCAGGGATAAAGGGAAGATGCCCTTTATTGCACCAAATGAAGAAAGGTGCAGTAAGGAAAACCCTTTTCAATTATTTCTGTCCAGACAGAAACTGTCCTGACAGGGGTAACTGTTTGAAGGGCACTTACTTAATAAAGAATCCTAAGAGCATGCTTCAGGTGAGGGTCAGTCTCTCAGGAAATTAAACATTGATTCTTATTTGAATAAGAAAATTAGGTAAAGGTAAAGGTTCCTCTCATACATATGTGCTAGTCGTTCCCAACTTTAGGGGGCGGTGCTGATCTCGGTTTCAAAGCTGAAGAGCCAGCACTGTCCGAAGATGTCTCCGTGGCCATGTGGCCGGCATGACTAAACACCGAAGGCACACGGAACACTATTATCTTCCCCCCAAAGGTGGTTCCTGTTTTTCTACTTGCATTTTTACATGTTTTTGAACTGCTAGGTTGGCAAGTAGCTGGGACAAGTAATGGGAGCTCACTCCATTACACGGAGCTAGGGATTTGAACCACCAAACTGCTGACCTTTCTGATCTACAAAGTCAGCATCTTTACCACAGAACCTCCATGTCTCCTTATCAGTAAGTTAAACACATGTTTATATCTCTGTGATTTCAACACATGTAACTGTATCATTGGGTGGCTTATGCATCAGTGTTTTCTAGGTGTGTTGCTTCAAGAGAAGCTTGGAATTCTGCATTTTGTTAATCAGCAACTGCTGTCCCCTCAAAAACACAACCCCTGAATTCAGGGATGGGATTTCTTTTCAAGATAAATGCTCATTCATTTCATCTTAGAAGGTCTTGTTTGATGCTGTTGTGGAGGGGATCTACAACGATCAGAGACAGTCAGAGACAGTGGCTTGGCGAGAGATTAATGGAAGAAAACCACAGACACTGAACAGCACACCACAGTTGAGCCAGCAACGCAGCAAGGCTGTGATTTTGGTAAAGGAAAAGGCTATATTCTACAGCAAGGAGATTGTGTTAAAATTGGAGCTGACTCAAGTCTCCTTCAAAAACAATGCCACAGATGAAAACATTCATCTGTCAAGGCTTAATTACAAAATGTGACAATGAACCAGATAAGCACATTATTTGAAACACAGGATAATTTCTTAGCATTCCTCCCCAGCGGCAATATCATTATAGATAAAAGTTTCAGTAGTAGTTACAGATTGTTACAGCTTTATATATAAGAGATAAATATACAAGCATGGGAGAGTACAGCTAGAGAAAGGTGCAGTCTGATGCTTCATTTCTAGATGGCAGTAGAGCATCACAAAAATATAATTTTTAGACAGAAAAAGCGAAACAAAACTGTGCTGCTTGCATATTACCCAACATATTATGCACACTCACTTCAAATCAGAATGTAAACAAATAACAGAAGACTAGAAGTTAGATCAGGATAATCCACCACCCAAATTAAAGCTTTCGAAGAAGACAGCAGAATGAGTCTGATCCCTACAATTGGCAAAGTAACACCTGAATTAATTGTATATGATCTAGGATTGCAAACATACCTAACACTCCTTTGAAAGTTATTTTGGTAAGAAATAGCAATAAGGGGATGTGCGTGTGAGAGAAAAAGAAAAATTAAAATGGGAATTGGATTGGTTCCAATTTTTGTGTTTGGATTCAAAAAGCCAAAGCTTGTCTTAACAACTGTTTGCCAACCAATTAGAAACAGTTCTCTAGTTTTCACTTTGGGCTAAATTCCAATAAACCTATTAAAATGCTGTATACTAAGTAGAATCTGCCTTGTTTAGAATCATTCCTCTGGAATTCACAATATATACTTTTTCAAACTTATTGAAATATAAACACTTTTCAAGATAGCCAGCTGCATTTCATTTGACACTTCCAGGAAAATAAAATAGCCATATTCCATCTATATTCAAAGGGAGGAAAAACGCTCATAAAAACCAAATGACAATTTATGAAAAATGGCTGTCAGCAACACTTATCAAAGACAGGACAAGAGAATACAATGCAGGTCCTATACTAAGCCACTTTGATAACCTTCACCCAGTTCTCAGAAAGAAATCAAATTAAATGGTAAATCATAATTACGATTCATGAAACTGGTACTGAGAGAACAGAACTGACTATTCAGGATGATAATAGAACAATAATAGTATTACTTATCATTGTATTATCATTATGGCTTTATTCACTCATTTTCTTATTCTTAAATTATTCTTACTTTTGTGGGTTAATTCTCCTAATAACCTCATAATAGCATATTTTCATAATAGTAATATTATTAAAATGCATTCTAAAAAGACATTGTAAAAAGATCCAAGAGCAAACAATGGAAATATTTTGTCAGATAGTCTTTGTTTTCAATACAATACAATACAAAAGCAGAGTTGGAAGGGAACTTGGACGTCTTCTAGTCCAAACCCCTGCCTAGGCAGGAAACCCTATACCGTTTCAGACAAATGGCTATCCAACATCTTAAAAACTTCCAGTGTTGGGGCATTCACAACTTCTGGAGGCAAGCTGTTCCACTGATTAATTGTTCTAACTGTCCTCATTTTTAAGTTGCTTCTCTCCTTTAGTTTCCAACTATTGCTTCTTGTTCTACACTGCCTTGGAGAATAGTTTGACTCCCTCTTCTTTGTGGCAACCCCTGAGATATTGGAACACTGATATTATGTCTCCCCTCGTCCTATTCGTATTATTTATTTCCTTTCAACAACAACAAACCTTTGTTATGCCTTTGGGTCTGAAAACACTACAGAGAAGTACATAGAACTAAAATTACTATCAGGGTTAAAAAATGGGTAAAAAATGCAATAAGATTACAAAACAAAATCAGCATAAGAGAAATAATACTGATGCAAATAACACAAGTGACAATAACTAAAATTAGTGCTAATCTTCAGTCATCATAAGGGGACAAATAAAATAATTAGATGTGAAAAATTGGGCAACATGAAAAGCTACATCAGAGTCCTGTTTGGTTAGAAGAAGTGATAGATAAGCATTGTACCAGGCATTTTTAAAAATGGGATAAACAATGAAGATAGACATAGACATTATCTTGTCTCTTGTCACTTAGGGCTTAATGTGATAACATTAATCCCTAGGTGGACACAGACAAGATAATGAATAATATATAATGAAGATATGAATAATGAATAGTAAGGCTCTAATAGTAATGGATCTAATCCAACAAGTGGCAACTGAGGAGATGTACAACTAAAAAGAGCCAAAGTGTGTTCTATTTCAGAAGCTGAAGAATCACTGGAAAGTTTGGAATTGACAAGACAGCTTACACTGATGTTCCATTGTATCCAGTCTTAAAAAAACAAGCATCACTAGAATAATGTAATTTATGTGCTAAAACAGCACATTCAAGCTTGTTTTGTGCTTCATGAAATGATTTTGTTTTGTCTAAAACTAGTTTTGTTTCCTTTTTTTAAAGCGGTGCTTCTGTTATCCTCAATAAAAGCAAGAGGGCTGCAGAGATGTTTATGTTTCAAAAACAGAACCTAGGGAAGGCAGTTTGGATGGTTATTCTGAACAAACAAAATCAGGTTTATCTTTGTCCCAATATCTCTCTTACACTAAGTCTTGACTGATTTAGACTGCAGGTTCACTCAGCTGCTTACCATTAAATACTACAAAACCAAAAGAAAAAAAGGAAGGAAGGAAGGAAGGACCAAAGTTTTTTGTTTGTTTACAAACTACCTAATATAAAATATCTAAGATTTTACATTCAGGATAGAAAAAAAGTACCAGCAACAAAACTAGGTCCTGTGTTTATGTTGTACTGATTAAAAATAATAGTTGTAAAACACATATTTAAAAGTCCATGCTGGTTCAGAAAGGTATGTATCACCTTTATTCTTCTAAAAAGATTTGCAATGGTTTCAGTTTGCGTGCAGTTGCTCTATTCACAACGCCTAGAATGGAAGGTAATTAAAAATGTTCCAGCCTTGTGTAAAAGAGAGAAAACAAAACTGCTTAGCTGAAACTGAAAGCTGAACACTCTGAAAAAAAATATCCTGCTGTCTCTTTAGAAACCAGATAGCTAGCCAGGAAATTAAATTGCTTCCACTTTATTAGTTGGGTTTCAACATGTACTCATAAATTTAAAATTTCTATTCCAACTGTAAGAAATCAGGGGAAGTAAAAAGATTATCCATTTTTCTGGATATTTAGTGAGCAAAGTATATAGAAGAATAATAGAAATAATGATAACTATCAGTCCAATTTTATTGCTAGGCAGTTACACTCAACAGTCAGGTTTAGAAATAATGAAGTCTGCGGAAGTATTCCTTAAGCAATTGGAGAAAGAAAATAGAATGACTTACTTAATCCTAATCAAATATTTCCATATCCAAGCTAT